TTATTTCTGAAAGTGATAACTAAAAGTCGCATGGTGCATTATTACGAAAGATTACACAGATCATTTTCAACTGAATATCAGTCAACAAGATGAGGAAGCAAGGTTAAACGCTCAACCACGTTGAACACAATTTCAAGCACTGTTTAGAGCCGTAGATCAAACGTCGAACTTTCTTTCAAACTGATGGCTCGTATGCATGTTCTCTTTACCACCTTTGCGGCTCAACCTCTTCTGCCTCCAGCCACGTCGTGTCATCAACATATTGATCTTATTTCTCAGTGATCGCATCTGCTTGACCGACTGACATATATGCACACATCCCGGATGCTCAGCAGAATTGTGAAGGTCTCGTTATAGCTTTCAGCGTAACCTTTAAATGTTTCGTAAATGGTATTGCTTCAGGTTTATTTGAATACATTAATGACCTTGAAAATTTAATTCGAAATAAGCTCATTTTTACCTGGTCCAATGCGTAATGTATGCTTCAGAATTCGGGTTTTGTCTGGTGAGTGAAGATTTTTTCTGAAACCGTCTTTGCTCTTCCAACAGCAGGTGTTTGAATATTTAGTCTTTTTCGGGCAGTCATTCCTGAAGTTCTCAAATTGGTTGCTGTAAACGTTCTTGATGCAAGCTTTTCTTTTTTTTTTATTTTAAGTTTTTTAAACATCAATTTCTAAGGCACAAAAATTGGATTGAGTATACTGAATAGAGTGACTGAAATAAATTTTTAAAATTGACCATTTTGTGGATAGAAGATGTTTTTTACCTTCTACCCTCAAATTAGTTTTTGATATTACCACTTCTTACTTTAAACTTGAAGTCATTTTGGGGATTAAAATCATTGTTTTTTGACGCCGATGATATGCTGTGGTTTTCGCTTTAATTTCTCATATTTACAAAAAAAAAGTCTAATTTTTGTAAGCGTTTGTGCAAAAGCCTTTTTATGTTGAAGTGCGAAGGTTCATGTTTGTTAAAGCTTTCTGAAGTTTGCATAACGTTATTGATGTACAAGTTTCTGAAGTTTTTTTATCAAATTTTTTTTGAGGTTTTTGTGTGACTTTGATGTTTTGCACCTAATAGGTTGACGGAGAAGAGCGAAATTGAAGAATGCTTGAGAATATATACAACCGGCAGTCCATGAAACTAAAAAGCGTTGATCTCAGTGAGTAATTCTGGTGTTGGTGCACTTTTGAGGCATTGTTGTTTTCTGAAATGGTTAAGTGTTTGGGTTAGTGGTATTTATGGACAAAGTGGTTGTGCTGCTAATGATTGTTGAGGTGATGTTAGCTGTTAAATGCTTTGTTTGTCCATTGATAGTGCGAATTCCAATTTTTACCACAGTGAACGGCTGCTGACTTTGTTTATTCAGAAGCAAGTACTGTATAAGAGCTGCTATCCCTCAAAAAATTTCAGCGAATTTGGTTTGCTGTGTCTGAAGTGATGAAAGATTTTTGGTTGTGTAAATTAAGTAAAACACTGTTCTTTTGCGCAGGTATTGATGTTGAAAGCCGAGAACTTTTGTGGATTTTTTGAGAAGGAAACTGTCAACGATTGTCGGCTGTTTTTTGTTGGGAGGTAGTGTTTGTGAACTAACAATGACAATGCTTTCGTTGTCATCTTGCGCATTCTGTGGTGGGAGTGGTGGACTGGATTAGTTTAGGTTACTTTGATCGGTTACTACAGGAAGCGGAATTATGCAGTTCTTTGCAGTGTAGGAGCATCAACTACTGCTATTAAGATGTTCGGTTTTTAGACGTCGGAAGCAAGTTAAAAATTCTTCAGCGCGGACAGTGCAGTCCTTCTTATCGGCGTATTTCTGAAAAATATCCCTCCATTGTTGGTCTTGGCAGAATGCACACTTGGGCGTGTGGCGTTTGTTTGCCCGCTTTTGGTGTTGAAGTGGCAAATTTTTTATTGGAGGATTTGTGGAGTCGTCGATGTTGATCCGCTGAGCTTATTGAATTTTCGAGTAAAGTTGATATTATTTGGGCTGCTTGTTTTTGTACTGGAGCGGCTGCTTTAATTTCGTCGTGAAAGCTTTTGAGATTCTAGTTAGGCAGTTGCAGTTTCTTTGCGCAAATCCGGAGCAATAGCGCTTTGGCAGCTTGGGTTTGATATGCGACTTGAGAGCGGCATTAATAGTTACATGCACTTGCTGTTGCTCTAACTGAGCAGTATCTTCTTCGATTTTGTCGGAAGCGACATTGATCAAGTGCATGTCTTCAACAAGTTTCATTTACTGCAGTTCCTGAAATAGCTTTCTTAGTAACACAGAATTACCCATGGTGAAAATCCTGCCGCTCTTTCACCATGTCGTAGTTTTCTGGTATTATACAATAGCTGGCCATTTTTGAAAGCGCTTTCTCTTCCAGTTGGGACAACAAATGATTGAACTGAACTTGTTGCTGGTGGAAAGTGATCGTTCACTAACACAGCGCGTAAAGTAGGTTCAAAATTGCGGTCATCTTTGAATATCTTACCGTCGAACTTTGGTACTTTTGCAGTTGTAAATTTGATTTTTGGGTTGGACGTTGAATTTGTTATGGGTTGTGACATGAACCTTTTCGCTATTTTTCAGGAAAAGCCTCAGTTTCTAAGGAGGTTTTAGGAATTTTTTTTGTCGTGATGAGCTGAGGTAATGCAAATGGCAGAAACGTAGTGTAGTCACGTTGGTACGTCTGCAGGGCACTCAGTAATTTGCTTAATTGTTCATAGTAAAACAGCACCGTCTGCAACAATCCAAAATAGACAACGGCGGACTTATCTTTACTAGAGTAGTTGATTTTTTGTACAACTGTTGTCGTTTTGGCGTGGCGTGCAGCGGTGGCAATACCTTGCCGAATGATTGCGACATTGTAGGCGCGAGTGCTAACGACGAGTGTTAGACAAATAAGGTTGGAGTACAGTAGCTGTCAGAAAATAAGGCTTTAGTTTTTAGTATGAGGGGAAGATCGGTTTTAGTAGCTCAAAAAGGAGTGGTTGATAGGGTCGCCGTGTTACGGCGAAAGGCGAAATTATAGAACGCTTGACAGTACACAGGACCGCCTGTCTATATTTAAGTTAGTGAAGCCCATTGATCTCTTAATAAACGAGAAGTCGTTTATTTACAGTTGCTAACATAAAAAAAAGTGTAGTCATTGCAAAGTGCCATTACCGTGTTATGTGTCAATACTGGCATCATTTTATCAGTGGCTAGTCTTATTGGTTTTACTTTCACTAAACAAAATCAAATACCTTAAGAGTAAGAATAAGACTGCTGTTATCCTTCCATTTATGTTTATAATTATAGGCGTATTTGTTCTCAAATACACAATTAATAAAATAAATGAAAAATTGAATGAACAAATATATATGGGCCATTCCACGTCAAATCTCACACTTTTTTCCCTTGATATCTCAGATTTTCTTCAAATTTTGCTGATTAGTGGAGTCCAGGCAAGCATAGAGAAAGCCGCAAAAAAAACGTGGAGAAGTTAATTCCCCGCTAAGTCACACCCCTTCAAAGTGGCAAAATTTGCCAGGTTGCTTTTTGAAATGCCTCTCTTTACAGATTTGTAATTTAGCTCGTTCTGAATAAAATTAAATGGTTTTTTGTTTATTGGATTTCTTATGTTTTGAGCTTCTAAATGCAAATTTATTTTTTATAATTCTGATGAAAAATCGCATAAATACAATAAAAACAAGATTTTAGACGAA